AGTAGGAGGAGGAGGAAGAGGAGGAGAAGGAGAAGGAGAAGGAGGAGGAGAGGGGGAAGAGGAGGAGAGGGGAAATAGGAGGATGAGGAGAAGGAGAATGGGGAGTAGGGGGAGGAGGAGGAGGAGGAGGAGGAGAAGGAGAAGGAGGAGGAGGAGGAGGAGAAGGAGAAGGAAAATGGGGAGTAGGGGGAGGAGGAAGAGGAGGAGGAGAAGGAGGAGGAGAAGGAGGAGAAGGAGGAGGAGGAGAGGGGAAAGAGGAGGAGGAGGAGAAGGAGAATGGGGAGTAGGGGGAGGAGGAGGAAGAGGAGGAGAAGGAGAAAGAGAAGGAGGAGGAGAGGGGAAAGAGGAGGAGGAGGAGGAGTAGAAGGAGGAGGAGGAGAAAGAGGAGGCGGAGGAGAAGGAAGAGGAGGAGTAGGAGAAGGAGAAGTAGGAGGGGGAGAATGAGGAGGAGGAGAAGGAGGAGTAGGAGAAGGAGACGGAGTAGGCGGAGGAGGAGGAGCCGGAAGAGGAGGAGCAGACGAAGGAGGAGGAGGAGTGCAAAGAGGAGAAGTAAGAGGAGGGGAGGAGGAGGAGTAAAGAGACTGGAAGAGGAGGGAGCAAGAATGGGGGAGGGAGAGGCGGTGAGGGATGAGGAAAGATGCTGCGGCCAAAGTTGTGCAGCTTCGTAAAATTCCCCCTCGCTTCTTTGATGATGCCGCAGCACTGCAACAGCACTAGTTTGCTGACGCTGACGCTGACGTGCGTCACGCATTTTACGTCATGACGCACTGCCACTGACGTATATTTGCGTCTGCTTCACGGCTGGAACGTGAAAGCGACCCTCACCAACGCTGACGCTGCCGTGCCTCATGACGTCATGCATTTTACGTCATGACGCAGTACCAGCGTCAGTGATATGTACGTCTGCGTCAGGGGATGTGAAAGCGACCCCCACCCTCAGCTATCCAATCAAGCTTCGATATGAATAACAGAATAATTATATAGAAAATAAACACGCACACTGATTGTCATTACTACAAAATTCACATATTATTCGTAGAAAATTTTTCTCTTGTTTTAACGATTTTAACACATCGATGCATAACTACCAATCGTTCATGCCTATCATTGATTTCCTTAGATTAGAAAATAAAACTATTATTACAAAATTACAAAATTAAACATAAATTATATAAATAGACAATTACGCAAAAACATTGGTAGCATATTCCACTTGGCACCCGATTGCATGTATATATTACATGTACATATTATTTCAATAGCTTAGTAATTGCACATTTGAATCGCATAAAAATATCTTGGAAATATATAACATGGCATCCCTGTAATTCCCAAGTCCCTCATTGACTATTAACATATATATACTACATAGGCCATTACAGTCGTATAAACATACAGTTCTATATTCCGTGATTCTATATTCTATACTATTCTATTCTATTCTATATTCTATATTTCTATATTCCATAACACAGACAACACAGACTTGAGTGTACTAGACAAATAAAAAAATATATACACAAGTTCTATGCACGCGCGGACATACGCACGCGCACACACACACGCGCGCGCACGCACGCACGCATACATACCCATACACACACACTCTCTCTCTATCTATCTATCTCTCAAACGCACGCACGCACGCACACACACACGCACCAAGACAATTTCGTATTTTCTAAGGTACGGTGCACTGTTGACATCTTTTGGTCACTAAAACGTTACTTTACGCATGTATGGTTTAATTGCAACCATAAACCTATCACACTGCTTTTACTTCTATCACCGTGCAAGTTTGCACAAACTGTTTGCAACAGAGCCAGCGAACAACAACAAAATTGCACGTGTCGAAAACCAAAACCAAAATGGGGCTACCGTACATGAATATGCTGAACGTTAAATTAGCCTAATCTTGGCCAAATGTAATGAATGAAATAAGTTCATTGGATTTCTCTGAAACTCTGAATTCATATTTATCCTGTGTTGAATCCAAGAAATTAACTTACTATCAAAATTTTCGATCTCCCTTCGGGTGACATCACGAACTTCATGATGTCACCTGCTGCCACCTATGGTGACATCACATCCTGATGAAGATTTCCTGCAAGGGAGATCGAAAATTTTGATAGCAAGTTAATTTCTTGGATTTAGCACAGGATAAATATGAATTCATAGCCTACTGTACACCTATGACAATACTTTACACATGATAATACCTGATAAACACTTGATAAACACATAATACTTGATAACACATGATTAATACTTACACCCCAACACATGCACATACCTCGTCGGACTACAATCTAAACACAAACTAACGCATTATTTCTGTATAATCACAACCATTCACTATTCTCTATCACAAGTCCATATAAATACACACCCATCTTATATATCCTGCTCGCGAAACACTCACAGGCAATCGCGGTCGACACGCGTTTTCGCGAAAATGAGTTCATCCGATTTCATCTTTTCCTTCTTCCGCTTTTTGATTTTAGTGCACATCCTGCATCTCAAAGTCGCAGCTCAACAACGGAGCATCCTTGTTCGACGCATCGTAACTCACGCACCCCCACGCGCCGGCAAACGGACTGCCGTTGCCACAGCTATAACTCGAAAATGGGTAAGTGCGCGCGGAATCGTCGCAGACGCCGTCGTCGTCGCCGCGGCAACCGAGCAGAGTCGTTTGGCTTTCGACCGGCTCCTCGCTCACGCAGCTGCACTCAGGGTACCGGAAAACTCCGGGGTCTCTGAACGGATGCAGATCGACCCAGCAGGTGGCGCCGGCGTCTGTCGCCGATATCAGATTCGCTCCGGGGGATAAGTCGATGTCATCGCAGTCCGCGTCCGTGCTCCCAGACGTGCTGCCGTCGCCGCGGCAACGACGACGCGCGCACTCGGGGCACGGGCATCCCGCGTTCGCCGGGCCGTCGCCACCGTGCGCGCCGACCTCTGACCCCGGGGTCGCGGCGGGGTCGCGCGGCGGGGCGTCGCCCGCTGCCGCCGCCGCCTCGCCGTTCTCCAGCTCCTCCTGGAGTTTGTCGACGAACCAGTTTCGGTTTTCGCGGAAGAAGACGCGCGCGGCGGCAACGGCGGCGGAAAGGTCGCGACCTTCAGGGAGGGAGAGGTGCGACGATGCGGAGGTCGCTGCCGCCAGGGGGCGCCAGCGTCGGCGGCGGCGGCGGTGGACGTGCTGCAGTAGGAGCGGGAACTCTGCCATCAGACGGAAGGTTGCTCGCGTCTCCAGTTGCCGCGGAATCTCCTGCGAAGAGAGGTCGACGATAGTAGTGTGTACGCTAAGGTCACGGCTACACAAGTACATACATGCATACATAGCAGGGTAAAAAATACACGGAAGCGATGAGCGATTCGCTCTTCAAACCTCCGAAATCGCTCCCGTGAGGCTCAAAATAGCTCCCGTAAAATTTTGGCCAAGAGCTATTTTTCCCACAGACTTGAAAAAGAGCTCCCGTGAAAAAAAAGGGATTTTTCCCACGATACATACGTACATACATGCATACCTACAAGCATGCACACACACACACATACATGCATACCTACAGGCATGCATGCACGCATACATACATGCACACGTGCATGCATACATGCCGCGGAATCTCCTGAGAAGAGAGGTCGACAATGGTAGTGTACGCTAAGGTCACGGCTACACAAGTACATGCATGCAAGCACGCATGTATACATATATAATACATACATACATGCATACATGCACCTGTACATACGTACATGCATACATACATGCACGCATGTATACATATATGATACATACATAAATCCACATATACATGCATGGATGTTTACATATATATTATTATAATAAAAACATACATACATACATACGTACATACATACGTACGTACGTACATACACACATACATACACACATATGTACGTACATACATACATACATACATACATACATACATACATACATACATACCTACATACCTACATACATACATACATACATACATACATACATACATACATACATACATACATACATACATACATACATACATACATACATACATACATACATACATACATACATACATACCTACATACCTACATACCTACATACCTACATACCTACATACATACATACATACATACATACATACATACATACATACATACATACATAAATACGTACATACATTCGTGCGTGCGTGCGTGGTACACACACACGCACGCGCGCACGCGCGCACGCACGCACGCACAGACACAGACACAGACACAGACACAGACACAGACACAGACACAGACACAGACACAGACACAGACCCACACGCACGCACGCACGCACGCACGCACGCACGCACACACAGACGCACGCATGCACGCACGCACGCACGCACGCACGCACGCACGCACGCACGCACGCACTACGTACGTACGTACATAAATACATGGCCGCCCACCCCCTACTCACGTCTTTATTGGAATACTCGAAGTAGACGTTGACAAACTTGTCGTCTGCGGCCCGGAGCAGCGGTGAGTCGTCTGTGCTGTGTCCGCACGGCAGCGTGCGTAGCTGGTCCATCGCCGTAGCAAACATGTCCGTGCGCACCCCGTCCACGGGCTGGCCGCGCAACCTACACGCATGAGAGAAACGATGATTATTAGATGATTACGCTCATGTTCATGCTCACGCACGAATGTTGAACTTGCGCACGCACGCACACGCACTCACACACTTACGCATGCACGCACGCACACGCACACACACACATAACACAGGCACACACACACACATGCACTCGCACGCACACACACACATAACACACGCACACACACATGCACACACGCATAACACAGGCACGCACACACACATGCACACGCACGCATGCACGCACACACACGCACACACACACCTAACACACGCATAACACAGGCACGCACACACACATGCACACGCACGCATGCACGCACACACACACATTACACAGGCACGCACACACACACCTAACATACGCACGCACACACACAGGCACTTATGCACGCACACGCACACACACACATAACACAGGCACGCACACACACACGCACACGCACGCATGCACGCGCGCACACGCACACACACACCGAACACACGCACGCACACACACAGGCACTTACACACGCAGGCACTCACGCACTTACACACGCACACACACACGCACGCACGCACACATGCACGCACGCACGCACGCACACACGCATGCACGCACGCACGCACGCACGTACGCACACACACCTGTTTGCATGCTCCTTAAACTTAGTTCCCGTCGACGCAACGCACACGACAAAGTCGGCGCCGCGTAGTTGCTGCTGCTGCCACAAGATGGCGTTGTGGTCGGTGTGCGAGCAGTGCCACTTGTCGAGGATGACGCGACATTGGCAGCGTCGCTCCATCAGTGCAGCGAGGTCCTCCACGACCTTGCTGTGCACCGGGTGATCGTTAGAGTAGATGAAGAACACCGTTGGATCGCTAGCTGTCTGCTTCCCTGCAGAGAAAGAGAGAAAAATACATAACCCGGCCTAAGATAAAATATTGCTTGTTTTCCTTTTACCGACCGACTCGCCAAAACGCCGTGACTCAACACATTTTATTGGCCGATTAAAAAAAAAATTTATTTCGTTTCGCCATGTATATCAGGCACTCGCGGCCCTGATACGCGCACACCGAAGTGAACGGTTTAGAATCTAAATATAGTGTAGGCGGTACAACAGACGAAGAGGGAGATGTGTAATCAACAGCGGGTGTTGCAGATAGCCAGCGCGTGTGTCGCACTTGCTGCTAGCACGTACGATGTACGTGCGTTGGGAGAGCGGCGGTGTCGATTGATTAGCGCCCCCCCCCCCGATTGTTTCATGACTGTAGCGCGATCTGATGTCGCGTGCGTGCGACAAGGTTTAAGCTGTCGTTTGCTAATTCGCCAAATGCAAATTAAGGCAAGTTTAATTTGGCAAAAAAAAATTCATGATAAATTCGCCAAGAAGCTAAAGCTAATTAGGCCCTTCAGGCTAAACTCAAATTCTACCCACTACGATTCTATTCCACCCGGTCGCTGCAAGCTAATTCATAGGTCGCTCGAATTCTACACAAGATCGCTACTTGCTAAACTGAAGCATGAGCTACACTGCGTGTGTTCATTGTTTACTCAGTACCGAAACTTTTCCAGAAAATACCCGGAAAATTATCAAAGTGGCCTTCGCCACACACACACGACTACATTACAATTTACATAGTTAGTAGAATTTTACTAAACATTTTCAGACCGAGTTCGCCAAATTGCTACTAAATATTTGGCTAACGGCTGATACCTGCCTGACACGTCCCAGCTCAGGGTATTAGCCAGGAATGAGTATTGTGGGAGTGCAGAAAAAATATTTGGGAGTGCAATTTTTTTGTCTCAGCCAAGACAGCTATAGCCTATAGGCGTTTACGGGGGGGGGGGGGGAGTATGAGAGGGGTTCCTCCCTCTCTGATTGGGGGGTGGGTACGGGGGCCTCACTCGGAAATTTTTTAATTTTTTAATTTTTTTGGCCGTGCAGTTTCAAAACTGACCATGCAAATCACGGCTGCACGGCTCGCTGGCTAATACGTTGTCCAGGCCGACGTACCTGATAGACTGCGACGTACAATGAGTATCACCGTGACGGCAATTCCGACGAGCGCCACCACTCCCACGATCACCGCCACGATCATGGCGATGGGGGCTGCAGAAGCAGATGGAAACGACGATTGTTACCATGGAAACGAACAGCACGACAACTCAGTACAACGTCAGTATTTGTGTTTGAATTACATGCAATAAAGAATTTAATAATAATAACAATAATGATAATAATAATAAAAATAATAATAATAATAAAAATAATTGCCACTGCACTTGCTAGGTGACTGAACTCTAGATGAGCCTATTCCGTTGCAGTGATTGACCGCCAGAGTTATCCAAGTGAATAGTTTTGGGGGCTGAGTTCCGCACACAGATTTCAGAGTAAAATGAAGTAAAAGACTAATAATTGTAATTAAATGTAAAATGTAAATAACCTCCATTAGAATCAGTAAACGTAAAATGCAAAATCGCCCCCCTTAAAATCGGATGTTGGAGAAAAATTAAGTAAAAGTCTAATGAACGTAAGAACTCTTAAAGAATCAGTGTAAACCATCGCATATTCGTCAGCGAACACCCTTCGTCTCACACCCAACCCTACCGCCACGCTACTACACACGACGACTGGGATATACGCCCCCCCTCCCTCTTCGCTACCCGCACGAGTTACGAAATTTCTCTACACTAACTTGTTCTATACGATACTTTAGCTATGATTCTTGCCGCAGGGAATTCGCTTCAGGGTTTCTTCTACATAATTCAGGCACAGTGGCGCACCGCCGTTGTCGAATTTAACATCGCCATTGTGAAAATGTTCCTGTATTAAAATTTTACCCGCCCCCGGGCGCCCCTAGCTGGACGAGCTCCTGCGGTGCTCGCTTTGCTAGATCCTCGAGATGCACAAACACGCCTTTGAATCCATCACGCGCGTTTTCCCCCCAAACTGGCCATTACCTCCGTTGTCTAATTTTCCCTCAGAAGAAACCCTGGGCTACCGACTGGAGAACGGACTTACTGTCTTGGGTGGGACAGGCGCTGGTGGCGGTGACCGTCACCCACGGTGACATGCTTCCGTCACCCAGGGCTTCGATGCCGTCCACGGACCCGCGCACGTGTATGCGGTAGTGTCCCGCTGGTAGCTTCACCGTCGTCTGCAGCGACGAGACATTCTGCCGCAGAGAATTATTTAAATTACAGATAATAAGGGATCTAATATTTTTTTTCTTTTTTTCGACTGCAGTTATTTATGAAATAATTTCTTTAAATTATCCTCTATTATATATATGATATCAGGAGTGAATAATAATAGAGCTTTACTACTATTATATATACTTACTTACTTACTTACTATTACATCTATTATTATTCACTCCTTATATAATATATATAATAGAGAATAATTTAAAGGAATATTATTTTTTTAATTGTATTAATAAAGAATTATATTTCATAAATAATTGCAGTCGAGAAAAATACAGCAAAATATTAGTTTCATCTGATAGCGAACATGTTACTGATAAATCCGGTATAAAATTTTACTATGAGTTTATGTTATTACGGAATATAAAATGGCAAATAATGCGCACACATTCTTTCACGTAGCGACAATTCTGTTGAACACGCACATGCACACGCACACACACACACGTGCGTGCGCACGCACATACACACGACCATGCATTAACTTCGCCCACCCACCATTTCGTGGGGCTGCACGACTGCTTCCAGCGGCCTGCACTGCGCCTCCCAATCGTAGGTCGACTGCGAATCGTACGTCGCCGTGACGACGTAGTAATTGAAGTAGCCCAGCGAGCAGGTGCCGAATATGACGTCGACGCTGGCGCCGGTGTTGTTGGAGACGGAGATCGTCGGTTGCCACGCCGACATCTCGGCCAATGGCGGATCTGCGTTTGAAAACTAGCGTGAGAATCGGGAACGACGTGCAGCTTCAGTGCCATCTATGATTCTAGGAAATAATTTTGAAGAATTTAATGGGGTTTGCACTAGATGGCGCCACATTACGAGTCATACACAGGTGTGGTGCACTGCTCAAGATTTTGCACTTTTTCACTTTTCTGGTGCTTTGAGTGTTAGCATGACATGCTGACAATTGAATGAAGGGGTTTATATGACAATTATATATGTTAGAAGACTGCAGAAAGGAGGGAGCAAGAGAGGGATAAGGGAAGTAAGGAAAGGGGGGAAACGGGAGGGAAGGAAGGGGGAATCAAATAGTAACTTAGCAATCACCAAGAAAGAGGAGGGAGGGAGGGAGGGAGGGAGGAAGGGGAGTAAAAAGTAATAATACATGTTGACAGTCTCCAGGAGGTAGAGACAGGGAGGGAGGGAGGGAGGGAGGGAGGGAGAAACGAGATGGGCAGGGTAGTAAAATAAAAATAGTAATAACACATGTTGGCAGTATCAAGGAGGGAGGAAGGGAGGGAGGGTGGGAGAGATAAAGGGAAGGACGAAAGAAGAAGAGGGGAGAGAAGGACCAGGACAGAAAGGGAGGGAGGGAGGGTGGGAGAGATAAAGGGAGGGACGAAAGAACGACCAGGACAGAAAGGGAGGTAGGTTGGGAGAGATAAAGGGAGGGACGACAGAAGGAAGAGGGGAAAGAAGGACCAGGACAGAAAGGGAAGGAGGGAGGGTAGGAGAGATAAAGGGAGGGACAAAAGAAGGAAGAAGGGAAAGAAGGACCAGGACAGAAAGGGAGGGAGGGAGGGTGGGAGAGATAAAGGGATGGACGAAAGAAGGACCAGGACAGAAAGGGAGGGAGGATGGGAGAGATAAAGGCAGGGACGACAGAAGGAAGAGGGGAAAGAAGGACCAGGACAGAAAGGGAGGGAGGGAGGGTGGGAGAGATAAAGGGATGGACGAAAGAAGGACTAGGACAGAAAGGGAGGGAGGGTGAGGAGAGATAAAGGCAGGGACAAAGAGGAAGAGGGAAA